ATTTAGGTTAGCTTAAGCTTTTAATATTCGCTCCTTAGTAATTTCTTCTTTTTTATTTAATCGATTAAACTTTAGATTTATTCGGGATACTAAGAAATATATTAGCTATAAATAATAAGTAGGATAACGAAGTTACCTATAAGAGCTAATCGCTATACCCGATATATTATAGGAATAACCCTAATATATATATTCGGTATACTTAGAAGATTTCTTTAGTATTTTATAGTAGAAGCCGCGTAATAAATAAAAAGAATATAGTATAACGTCGAAACTAAGACGATTAATAGACTTAGCTAAATAAATACGCTTAAGGGTCTTACGAGAACGATCCTTTAATACGCGACTAAATATACTATTAGTAGTATATCTTAAGGGATAGAAAGGACGAACGGGGGATATATATACGCGCGATAAGGGTATATTTATATACGGCGGCTAAGGTAGTAGTAGGTCTTATAGATAAGACTAAAAGGAGGGGAGATATCGTATTATAACTATAGTTAGTAGGCCGTAAGAGAGCTAGCTATATTTATATAATAAGGCGGCTTAGAATAATAGTTAGGATAAGAAGTTACTTAGGCTTAGCTTACCTAGAGCGTACGTAAGCTAAGTAAGCCTTATATAAATAGATTACTACTTAGGAGCATAGCTTATAAGTAAGCTATAGTAAGCTACGAAGGGGATTATAGCTAGGACCGTAATCTAAAGATAGTCTCTATAGGTATATATAGCTACCTACTTTTACTCTTTTAAATAGATAGCTCGATAGCTTTTAATATAATATAGATCTTTATTATAATTCTATCTTTAATTTTAATTACCTAGTTATAGCCTATAGTCTATAGCCTCCGACTTATTACTAACGTAATATACTTATTATTACTTAGACCACGCCTTATTATACCTACTAATATAAACCCCTTAATAGGTTTATCCCTTAAGAATAATATCGGTTGTTATACGTTTAATTACTTAGTTTAGTTAAACCGCCCGCGCTAGTATATATATATATATAATATCTATACTTTTATAGTTATAAAATTAAAGCGAATATAATACTTAGTTTACCTAAGTAATTAAGAGCCTTTTATAATAGTAGGGCTCTATATAACTAAGAGTAGTACTACTATACCTTAGTAAGTTTAATAGCTCTTTTATAAAGCTTAAGCTATAGCTACTTTATATAAAAGTAAAGCTTTATATTAATAGCGCTATAATAAAGGATATCCGCGCTTAATTTAACTATCTTTACGCGAGCCTATCCTTATACTTATAAAGGTATCTCTTACTATTTATATATATTAATATAAATAGACTAGCTAACCTCCTTTTAAAGCTCTATACTAATTATAGTAAACTTAATATAGCTAAGTTAGTAGGCTAGGAGCTTATAATGCTTTATTAAAAGTAAATTAAAGCTATTCTAGCCTACCTTATATAGTTTAAAGAGGTACTTTATTAAGTAAATATATATAGCTAGCCTAACGTAGTAAAGTATAATTACTTTATTACGAGCTTAAATATAGATTAGTATACTTATTTAAGCGAAAGGTCTATATTACTAAATATATATACCGATCTTATCTACCTTTTTCGCTAGCTTAGTAGTAATAAGTTTATTTTTTTTTCTTCTATAGTATAAAAAGATAATAACGCTAGTAATATTATAGATATCTCTATCTTTACTTTAAGGACTAAGGATAGAAAGAGGTAGTAATAAGAAGGTTACTATATAAGCTATAATAGTAAATCCTATTAGTTTTTAAAGTACCTACGCTAGGAGGCGCGGGTAAACGTACTTTAAGTAGTAGAAGGGCGTATATACTAAGATAGAAAGGAGGTTAGGTTTAATAATAGTAACTCTAGTAATAAGTAATCTTAGTAATACCTTTATAGGCTTTATTAGCGTTCCCTTATATATAGTAGTAGCTACTATATAGATAGGACGTATACTTATAGCGACTAAAAAGGTAGCTATAATATAAGAAGGCCGCTAATATAATATAACTATAGTAAAAGGGAGTGCTTATATAGCCCTATATAAGAAAGAGCGGAGCTTTATATACCGGAGTACTATCCTTTATATTATAGTACTAAGAGCTACTACTATACGCCGATATAAGGGGGGCGGGATACTATAAGCTTACTAAAGCTAGCTATACGCCGTTTTACGTACTTTTACTCCTTAGCTATAAGTATTAAAGCCTAGCTCCTAGGGCGCGGCCCCTACTAATAATATAGTCTATCTAAGAAGCTCGCTTAGGAGGGTATTATATATTATTTACTAACGTTTTTTCCGCGACTAAGCGTACGTAGTCTACGCGAGGGTTCCGTCCCCTTAAGCGTAGTATTAGGTATTATTTAAAAGCGCGCTTCTTTAAAAGCTAGGTAAGGGTATAATATAAGGGCTTTTGCCTTATATAGGCCTAAGCTAAGGTCTAGGCTAAGTCTATATATAAGCGGCCTCCGCGCTTATATAGGCTAGGCCTATACTTCTCTTTCTTTTCCCCTTTATAGATTATTAACCTTCTTTTAATAGTCTATACCTAAGCCTACGCCTTTACCTACTTTATAATACTACTAAGGTCGGTGTTTTTATAATATTTAGGCTTTATAATAACGCTAAACTTAGTAATACTTACTATAGTATAGCTAATAGTATCTTAGGTAATAATAGCTATATATCGAGGATAGATAGGGTTAATAAGCTTCTTATTTAAAGCTTAGAAAGCACCCTACTTAAGGTTTAGAATATTCCGGCTAGGATCCCTACTTAAGTATAAACTCGCGGAGAGTAAGTACCGCTATACCCTAGCGAATAATACCTTTAATAGTTAGTATCTAAGGGTTATCCTAGCCCTAGACCTTATCTTAGTTAATAATTTTTATAAGCTTTCTCTTAGAAAGGATAGTACGAATAAAGTTTATATAAGAAAAGTCTTAAATATTAACTTTATATAAGTATAGTATATCCTAAAACTATTCGTACTAAGTATTACGGTCGTAATACTTATTAGTCCTTAATACTAGAGTAATACCCTTAATTAAGTCGAGAATAAGGGCGTAGAAGTCGTAGGTAGGATATATCTTTTAGCTAGCTCCTATACGATAATACGGCGTTAAATTATAACGATATATAACGGGGTCTTTAAGGGTGCCGTTTAGGCTATCGTAGGCAATCCTAGCATAGAGACACTATTGCTAGCTACCTTTAGAGCCTAACTTTATATTCTTAAACCGTGCGGGAGTCTCGTTAATACTAAGATTATAACGCTTCGATAGTAGCTTATTTCTCCTATCCTTATCTCCCTTCCTAAGCTTAGAGTTATCGGCGAAAGCTTTGCTATCCTATATAAGCTAGATAGCATAGCTATATATAATCTAGAAATAGTTACTCGAAAAACTTATCTTATCTAAGAAAATATTTATAAGCTTAAGGTCGTAAATAATAGTATCCTAGAACTCTATCGACTCGTTAGTAGGGTTGGTGTCGTCGAAGCGATAGATTAGAATGCCGCTAGACTTTTAGTAGGCAAAAAAGTCGTTAAGAAGTGCTGCTTTTACGTGTCTAATATATAGATAGCCTAAAGGCTTAGGGGGAAACCTCATTACTACAGGCCCCTCTATCTAAGGCAGATCGATATCGTAGCTGGCTCCTCTGCCTAATCCCTTGTCCCTGTCTTTAACTCGATCGTTTGTCGCCGAAACCGTCATTGCTATGATAGCTTGAGAAATCTATGGGGCCGAGCACACAATATACTCATACCATCGATGTATATTTTTGTATGTCTTTTTAACAACGGACAAGGCGACGTGATTGCCTCTTAATATCGCCCACACCGCTAGATCGACTGCAGTTAGACGGAAGCCAGAGATGTAGGTTCTCAGCGTGAGGTGCACATCTAGCTCGGACAAAGCCTTGTCAAGAATTTGGAATCTTTTGCCCGCCAACGACGCTCGTTTCGAAATCCACTTATTGGCCTGAGCATCGGCAAGGTCAGCCAGCACCCGACTTCGCCATCCGAACGTGGAGGGACGGGAACCCTACCGACGAATAATCTGGACCATTTGCGTCGTCTTGTTGGGAAAGAATACTGAGATACTCGACAGCAGCATCATCTACCAAAGGCCCGCTTCCAAGTGCTCTCAGTCGCACCGAGCCGCCCTCAGGTAAGGCTTGCACAGGATGAAACGATTTGTTCAACTTGGGCATCAGCTGATTTCGCTCGCCGAATTCAGCAAGCACCACAGCTGGCAGCACTTGAGAAAGCTCACGATAGTAGCCATGGTTGCTGCGTGTCTGCGTACGAGCAGGGAAGCGTAATGCGGGGGAAGGAAGAGGAACTCGGGCGAAATTCTTAGAGGCGGTGTCTCAGTGTAACCCCCACTCGTTCTCTCGGACCCGTGGGCAGGCCACCCTTTGGCAGTGCTAAGGGAGCCCCGGCCGTATAGTATCCGTACGCATAACACACGAAAGACTCGAAAAGGATGCAATACTTCTCATGTAGCTATTTGCACTGATACGGGGTGCTGAGACTTTTATCAACGCGTAATCCGTTAGGTAGTAAATATATGTATCTTCTCTTTAGTGATGTCTTATTGGGTGACTTGGGGGCTCCCTTAGCACTGCCAAAGGGATCACGCTCTTTTGCCAGCCGGCGCATCGCCATTCTCCGCTTTCATTGGGCGGGTACGGTTGGAGAACCGAGGCTGACCGGGCTGAGGACCGGGGTGGGGCCGCTCCGTCTGTCCGATGTGGGGAAGAAGTCGCCGGGTGGATCAAGCACCGGCCGCAGTTTCGGTGGACTTGCCGCGAAGGCTTTGCTGTGTTCAACTATAAATTTGACTAATGGAACAGAGTGAGAGATTAAAGGCTCATCAAGGGCCACGAAAAGAAAGAGACGGGCGTGGGATAGATGATGAAACAGATCGAGGCCGTAATGCATTCACCGGGACTGAAAGAGGCTTGTTGCTCATGTCGCTGCTCCAGTTCCCCTTCACCCGTCTCCTCCTGTCCCTCCACTGCCCTCGCGCTCCTTGCCGGTCCCTCGCTCGCCGTCGTTTGCAGCAGCCCCTCGCCTCCGCCCAGCGGCCGCCTCCGTCGTCCAATTCTCGCCCCCCTCCATGCTCTCGCGCCCCAGCAGCACGGCCTCAAAGACTCTCTCGCGCGCCTTCTGCAGTACGGCACGCGCCTCGGTGAGCTCGGCCGCCCGCCGGTCCAGCTTGGCCTGCAGCTGGCCCTGCCGCCGGCGCGCCGCGTCCAGCTCGCCCTTGAGCTCGGTGGCGCAGCGCTGCGTCTCCACGGCGGCGTGCTTGAGCTCCTTGCGAAAGGCCCGGTCGGCAAACACGTCGTCGGAGACGACGTCACGCAGCACACGGCCGTTGTTGATGGTCACCTCCGGCAGCGCCTGGACCTGCGGCGACGCCTTTTGCGCCCTCATCACCTGCAGCCGCGCCATGGTCACTATCTGGTCGGCCTGCGCCACGCGGTTCCGCTCCATCATGTCGTAGACGCCCCCGCCCGCGAACCTGTCCGCCCTCGAGTACGACAGGGCGTCGCGGATCCGCGTGAGCGCCTCGTCCATCAGGCTGTCGCCCTTGTCCAGCAGCTGCACGGCGCTCGACTCAGCCTCCCACGCGGCCCTGGCGCCGTGGTAGGCGGCCTCCATTCGATTGCACTGCCGCTTTGCCTCGTTTTCCTCGGGAAAATGTGGCGTGGAGCCGGAGAAAATGGAGTGGTAGAGCTTGTCCAGTTTCCGCTGCGCGCCGACGTGCAAATGGGCCATGGCCTCGAGCTGCCGTTTGGATAACGCCGCCTCTTTCCTCTGGTCCCGGAGGTCGGCGTTGATGTTGCGCTCTCGACGCACCCTTTGCACTACCTCGGAGTAGTGGCGCTCGCCCTTTTCGGCCTTGTCGACAAACTTATTCTGCTGGCAAGCCGCCTTGTACATGAAGCGCCGTACCTGGCTGTCGCGGAACTTGTCGAGCTCATTGTGTTCCATCTCGCGCTTCATGTTGAGCAGCTTGAGTTTCTGGTTGGAGACGCCGATCTGCGAGTCTAGGTTGTCAATGAAACGGGACTGTTGATCGAGGGCGGCGGGCGAATAATCCGTGTCGGCTAAGACCTGCAGGAGTTCGGCGTGCCTGGCCGCCGCCCGGTGTACCTGGGACTCGAAATCCGACATTGCTGGCTGCGCTTCCTCTAACAGTCAAGATTTACTTGTTGAGGTCACCCAACTGTCGCGTGGGCGGGAGGCGCAAGTAGACATTGCAGCAGGCGAAAGACTTTACAGAGGGGGAGGGGGAAAGGGCCCGGATATATCACACGGCCTGGCACGGGAATGCTGCATGGATGGAAGCCTAGAGGCGAGGGCGTCTATCATCTCCCGGGCCGGATGGAGATGATGAAGAGGTTGTGTCCAGTCCAACAAGGCTGCTGGCTCCTTGTAGCCAGCCAAGGCGGAGGAGAAAGTGGCGAGATTGTCGCACACAGGTCGCAGTCATGGTCATTAGCAGCGACAATTGACATCAGGTGATGAGCGGCGGGACTCGAGGCCAAGGACATGGTCCTACTCCGTACGCCTGACGAAGAGATGTCGCAGGCGAAAAGGGCAGCGAGTGGCACAAGGGAGAGGCCAAGAGAGAGACGTTGTCAGCGGCAGTCATGGGTGCCAGATGCGAAACACGGCCTGGCCAGATGGGGTTCGTCTGTCTTTCCTCTCGTCGGTGGGGCCTTAGTTGGCTGCGCGGGACGGCGGGGCCAATATCGCGCTCGGTGAGATGTGCCGTCGGACTGAGCATTCAGTCGCCACGATGGACACTTTTCCGCGGACAGGTGGTTGGATGGCGAGCGATTCAGGGTCCAAGACGCCAGGTAAGCGAGGCGGTTTGCCAAGGGAGGTTGCCCGCAAACACGTCCCGTCTAGTTCCAAGACGATGAAAAGACGATGGATCAAGTTTTGGGCAGAGACGAGGCATGAGGGCCACGCAGAGCTCGTCTTCTCGTCTCAGACAAGGAAGGCCATGATGCAAAGAGGTTCAAGATACTTGGAGGTTCAAGATAAAATTACTCCGTACGGATATCCGACCGCCTGACGCGGCTCGGCGCCAAGTTTACCCGTCTGCCAAAGCACCGGTACGTATCTCTGCCGGCCGGAGGAGCTCTCGGAACCCCGAGTCCGTCCAGCGGATGGCCCCATAAAAAAAAGCTCCTCGTGTCCGGACGTCTCTGACTGACGACAGGCCTCCGCCAACTTCAGCTCACCTGCCCGTCGCCGCCATGGCCCCGAAGCCGGGTCTGCTGCCGCGCAGCCCGCCAATCCGTCTCCCTCTCAGTCCCCGCGCGCGCCCCCAGACTCGACCGACAGCAGCACCCTCGATATGTCCCTTTTGCTCCCTCGCCGCCGTCCGCGCCAGGCCTCTCAAAGCTGCTAGACGCGCCGTGCTGCTGCCTCGCCGGTGGCAATCGGCCGCCTCCGACGGCCCGCGGGCAGAGCTCGAGCGCACCCTCCTCGAGCTGCAGAGCCGGCATCCGAACCTTGTCAACCTCTCGAGGCTGCAATTGGCACTGCAGGGCCTGCGGCAGCCCCCCGGCCATGAGGTCGTCCGGATAGCCATCCTCGGACTGGCAGACGGGCAGATGGCCAAGACGGTGCTCAAGTCCCTGCTTTCGGATCCTCTCAAGGACGAGGAGGCGTGGGAGAGGGAATTGAACGAGCACGATGCCAGCAAGCCGCTCGTCGTGCGAGTCGCTCCGAGTCAGAGACGCAATGTCGACTTGCACATTTCCACAGACGCCGCCTTGCATGAGCTTCACGTCTCGTCTCCCTCACTCAATACCCTCAACCTCGAGTTTCTCTTGATGCAAGTCACCGCGCCATACGGAGCTATCGGCGACGTGTCCCTCCACACCCTCGAGGATGCCGTCCTAGTCCCTACCGTCGACGTTCCCTCAGCCGACCATCGCGTGTCGCCCGTGACGACCCCCGTCCACCGGGCCTTGCTCATCGCCGACGGACTCATGGGTGCCGTCAATGTCTCCGCGCTTCCCATTTCCGAGGCCGGCGACTTGGTCAAGGCTGCCGTGCAGCTGCAAGGCGTCTCCCGCGGGCAGCTTGAGGCCACCTTTGACGTGATCGATGCCTCCATGGCGGAGCAGGGCGTACGATTGTTTCGTCAGGGTCCGCAAAATGCCATGGAGTACGAGCACCTCTGGTCCGCGAGCAACCTCCCGACCCTAGTGACTTGGCTCAAGGCCGGCGCCACGACGGCGGGAGATGCAACCAAGCCCGCCGTAAGACAACTCGTCGCCTCCCTGCTCCAAAATGCCCTCGCGTCCATCCAAGCGCAAGAGTCTCGGAAGCTGTCGAGGACATTTTCCGCACAGTCCGACTCGCCTGCCCTCGGTGACTTGAACCATCGCCTCGCCCAGTGGACTCAGCAGGCGCACGCGGAGCTTCAAGAGGAGCTTGATCTCGCCTTTACCGGACGACGATGGCGGAAGCTCGGCTGGTGGAAGCTGTTCTGGAGGGTAGACGATGTGGCAATGCTCACCAACGAGATGTTGAGCCGGCGATTCATGCCGACGGCAGAGCAGGAACTGGTCTATCTCACGGGACGAATTGCACAAGGCGGAGGGCATCTGCCACACTACCCACAGCCAGCTTCACAACGAGACGTTGAAGCCTCGGAGTCCCGCAACCCAAGAGAGCACGCGCCTGCTTTTGGGGGCGGCGCAGCGTCTACTCTGCCCAAGTGGCCGGGCCACATTGCCTTTACGCGACGATACCTCCAAAACGAGACTGTCCCTGCCCTTCAGTCTCTGGCCCAGAAGCTCGTTGTCCAATCGCTTGGCACATCGGGCTTGACAACATCCCTGGCAGCGCTCCTTTACGTGTCGTCCTGGGCTTCGTCCCTCTACGAGGCGGGCGCCGTCGCAGCGCTGGGCATTGTGTACAGCTTGGGTCGCATGCAGAAGAAGTGGGAGACGGCGCGGGGCTACTGGGAGGGCGAAGTTCGAGAGGAGGGTCGCAAGGCAGTCAGAGGAGCCGAGGAGAGCGTGGCAGCAGTCCTAGATGTGGGCGGGCCCAGCACAACGTCGGGACAGGAAACCAAGGAGCTAGGGGAGGCACGAGAGCTGGTTGCCAAGGCAGAGGATGCTTTGGCACGAATGAGATGAATAGCTCGTTGGCGTTGAGCAGAAGTCACTGTCAGCTACCAAAAACAGCGTTTGTTCGCGCAAGTGAGCGCGTGTTGCGCCCTTTCCTTGCCATTAGCTCAAAATCAGCATATCCAGCCGATCCTTGTTGAGTCCAAAAAGATGCAAGCCGATTTAGTGGATGGCAGAGTTGGCACCAGCACCAGGCGCGAAGTTTGACCCAAAGGCAGCGCCAGCACCAGGCACGAAGTTTGGCCCGAAGACAGCGCCAGTACCGGCAGCAGAGCCAGCGGCAACAGAGCCAGCGGCAGAAGCAAAGCCAGCACCAAAGGCGGCGCTCACATTCAAGGCGTTGAAGGTTCCACGGCCGAGGCCGCCACCACGCACACCGCGTGGAATCGCAAAGCGTCTGTGCGGATTCACAATGTCAGTCATCGGCAGGCATGGCTTGTCCCGGGCACATTTAGTCATCACCGCCAGAAGGCAACCAGAGTGAGAGAGGGAGAGAGTGAGGAAAAGCCGTTGCGTGAATTCGTCCCAACTGTCCGCCCGTAGGCGGGGGAATCAAGGTCCCCTGAACGCCAAAAAAAAGACTGAAGTGAAAGCATCAGAACCCCCCAAAGAGCAAGCTATTTACCTGCTGGAATTTCGGTCCCCGGAGTCGCCCTATCGTCCTCCTCGCCCGGTACTAGCTCGAGCACGCGATACAGTAGCACGGCCGCGGGCGAGGCCCACGCCACGGCCGCGAACATTGCGGGCGCGGAACATGGGCGCGTTTCGCAGCATGTCCGGGATGATGAAGAAGCGGACGTGGGAGCCGCGGATATAGACCTGCTCGAGGTGGGAAACGCGGCCATCGCGGGCGGTGACAGTGATGTCCTTGAGCTGGACGTTCATGTTGTCTTCGGCTGTGGTTGGAGCGTGGTCAGCGACGTGTGCAGAACGCGAGGCAGGGCAGGGGAGAGAAATAAACTGACCATCAAGAAGCTTGCCGCGATAAGTGAATCCATTGGTAAGCTCGAGAGTCACGATGTGGCCCTGGAAACAAAGTCAGCTGCTGGATTCCTTGCTCCTCCGGGCCCTCTCTCGACGCGACTCGTTCTCTCGCGCAGCAAGGGAGGAAAAGGCGTGGTCTGCAGTACTAACCTGGGCCTCGTGAAGAAGCTTGATCGGAACGCCAATGGTGGAGGTCATGTTTGCAGTCTGTGAGCGTTGAGGTTTTGGTCGCGAGTGTGAGCTTGTGGTGGTGAAAAAGTGACGAAGCGCCAAACGAGTTGGTGAGAATGGATAGCTGCGGAAGTCAAGCCTAGCAGCTTTAACCCCACGTTGCTACGGGAATCGGTACGTACCTTGCAGCTGGCGAGCGGGAGGATGAATGTTTCTCCGTATTTCTGGTCGCCCGAGAAGCTACCAGGTACGTACTTGTTACCCACGGCCGCCGCCACAGCAAGATCTACACTGGGACTTTAACTATAACAGCCGGGAGCATAACGCTGAACATGGCACATGATGGCGATTGTCTTCCTCTTCTTCAAGTCCATCACCCCTCTGCATTCGGCGTCTGAGCTACATCCCCCTCCTGCTTCTTCTTCTTCTTCTTCTTGGACGCCATCATCTCCCTCTTCTCCTGCTTGCGCGCCTGCTTGTCCATGTTGCCAATCGTTCTGCTCTCTTTCCCGCAGGGCCATCTCGCCAGCGCTGCTTCTTCCGCCTCCTCGTCCCACGCATGTGGCAGCACGGCAAAGACAAGATACGACGTGTGAGACTTGAGATCCGCCTCGGTGCGGTGGACAATGCGGCCCTGCATAAAGACGGGCTCCTCGTCCTCTCTGTCGGCGTCTCCCCCATTGGCCTCTGGTACGTCATCGAGTGCCGGCTCATCGACGTCCATTGTGGATTCAGGCTGCGGTTGCTGCAACTTGTGGAAATCATTTGTCCTCTTCAGGTCGCTTTTGAGCTTTGCCATGGCCTCATCGACGTCGGCAGGCGTGGGGTTGAATCCCTTCTCGCTGGGCAGGTTGACACCTACACGCTCCCGCGTCACGTTCAACCGCTTGTGCGAAATCTCCACCATGTCAATGTCTGTCCATCCCAGAGTCCGTAGTTCCGTCACCGTCCGGGTGACCTGCTCAATACATGGGGAAAAGGTGCAAAGGTAAGCGCTCCGTCTCGGGTCTAGGGGCGACTCCCAAGATGCAGAGCTGTCATCTTCCTCGCCCCCATTTTGCATCTTCCGCCGAGACAGGTGATGCAGCGCCTCCCATGGCGCCGGCAGGTCCAAAAAGACAGAGGTTGCCTCGGGGGATTTTCCCGCTACCAAGAAGCCATCTTTGTACACATCTCTGTGCGTTATATCAACGATGCCCTCGAGCGAGTGATGCTTGATCTCCTCCTGCATCTTTTGGAAGCGCGGCTCGTGGAACTCGAAGCTAAACACTTTGCCCATCTTGTGCCCCGCGGCGCGAGGGTAGCCATTGTAGACGGCACGCGCCGATGCGTGGGTAAAGCTGCCGCTGCCGGCGCCAGCCTCTATCAGCCGGGAGCCCGGCCGGGCACGGATGCGCTGGAGGATGTAGCTATAGTCGGGGGTATAGACGACCTGGGTGCGGTGCGGGAGGCAGCTGGTCCACAGCTCAGGGGTCGGCCGGAGGATGTAGACGAAGCCGCTGGCTGCGGTCACGGCCTTTGCGGGCGCTGCCGGTGCCTGCTCGTCAGGGGCTTCGTCGTGGCTCTGGGCCGGCGTGTCTTCGCTTTCCACCTCACCCCGTCTTCGCTTGCGCCCCCTGGATCCGGTATCGACAACCGAGGCGCGAACCTGCGACCCCCATGGTATATCGAGAAGCGTCGAGTGAGGAAAGGAGCCAAACCGGGTGTTGAGTGTCGCGCCCTCGGCATATCCGTCGACGGCGCCGGTGGACTGCTCGAGGGTGATGGGCTGGAAGTTGTCGCGGGACAGGCTGACAATGGCCAGAGTGTTTGGACTTGTCTTTGGACCCGGTTCAAGAAACGGGGACGGCCCAGCCATGGCCGTGGCCTTGTCTGTTGATGCCTGGCTTTTTGTAATGCAGCAAGGTCGGTCGGGGCGTCGAAGTATGGGTTTGGACCGAGACTCCTTCTCGTTATTTTCTCGGTGAAGAAAAGGATTAATAAATACCATTAGAAATTACCTGCAGTAAATACAGCGTGGGGGTCACATTGGGCGGCAGAGGGGCACGGCGGGGCCGCAGGTAGAGTGGGGTCGGTGGAAGCTGAGCTTCAGCCTCGAGGGGTGTCCTTCATTTGCCCTTGGATTGCGTGACTCAACCTCGACTCTTCTGCCCTGGGCTGACTGGACGGTGAGGTCCTCGTCGCTCACTTATCCAACGCCTTCCTGCCCGGCCCTGAATGCATCTCCTCCGCCTATTCTCTCGAACCAGGCCTCCGATACCCGTCGCTGCAAGATACTCCTCCGTCGCCGCCATGGAGTCGCTCAAGATCCACAACTCGCTACGCCCCGGCCCTCCGGTGCCTTTCACGCCCATTGAGCCGGGAAAGATATCCTGGTACGCCTGCGGACCGACCGTCTATGACAAGAGCCACCTGGGACACGCGCGCAACTATGTCTCGACAGACATCATCCGCCGCATCTTGATGCACTACTTTGGCTTCAAAGTCAAGTTTGTCATGAACATGACTGACGTGGACGACAAGGTACACGAGCCACTCTCGCCATGGCCTACTCAGAGGCACTGACGAGTCGCCTAGATCATCATCAAGGCTAGAAGGCAGCGGCTGCTCGAGCTCGAGAAGAAAAAGAGGTATTCGAAAGACGACCTGAGAGCACTGGCGCTCGCTGCTTTCACGTCATACGCGGCAGCCAATCTGCCACTGCTCGCCCAAGAGACATCCAAATTGGACGAAACCAACTACGCCGCCCTGTGCGACACCGCCTACCGCTCTGTGCTGGCCGGAGGCACGCTATCCGGGGAGGGGAAGCCTGGCGATGGAGAGGCCAAGATCAAGATGCACATCAGCAACATGGATGCTGCCGCCGAGGCCGTAAAAAAGGACGCCGTCTTTCCCGGAGCCGACGAGATTCTGCTTCCGTACCTCGACTCCCTCTACAAGGAGACAATCGACACCCGCGACCAATCCATGTTCACCGACCTCACCAAGAGTATGGAGGCCCTCTTCATGCAAGACATGGACAACCTGAACGTGCTGAGACCAGACTTCATCACAAGAGTGACAGAGTACATGCCTCAGATTGTCAAGTTCGTGGAACAGATTGTCGACAAGGGCTTCGCGTACGAGGCCGAGGGGTCAGTCTATTTTGACATTGCCGCCTTTGAAAAGGCCGGCAACACGTATGCCCGGCTACGACCCGACAGCAGAAACGACAAGTCCCTGCAGGAGGAAGGCGAGGGCTCGCTATCCAAGAACCTCGGCGGCAAGCGAGGTGCCGGCGACTTTGCCCTCTGGAAGCAGTCCAAGGCAGGTGAGCCCTTTTGGCCGAGTAAATGGGGCAACGGCCGGCCGGGCTGGCACATAGAGTGCTCCGTCATGGCCTCGGACATCCTCGGCTCCCGCATGGACATCCACTCGGGCGGCATCGACCTCGCCTTCCCCCATCACGACAACGAGCTGGCCCAGAGCGAGGCCTTTTTCTGCCAGCACGGCAAGGGGGAGCACACCTGGGTCAACTACTTTTTGCACATGGGCCATCTGTCGATATCCGGTTCCAAGATGTCAAAGTCGCTCAAGAACTTCCAGACCATCCAAGACGCTCTCTCGACCACGTACACGGCGAGAAGCATGCGCATCGTCTTCTTGATGGGCAAGTGGAACGACGGCGTGGAGATCTCGCCTGACATGCGGGCCCAAGCGGACAACTGGGAGAGCACCATCAGTGTACGTCCTCGACTCACCCTTGCCTCCTAGAATGCTTTGCGACTGAAACTTACGTCGATAGAACTTTTTCACAAACACAAAGTCTTGGCTCGCCGAGGCTGGCGTCAGCGACGGCGTCAGGGCGCTGTCCATCAGCCCAGACAAGCCAGCGACAGGCCTTTTAGCCGACCTCGAGCAGGCCAAGAAGGACATGGAAGCCGCGCTGGTCAACTCTTTCGATACTCCACGGGCGATGCTTGTCATGTTGAAGCTCGTAAACTCGACCAACGCATATCTGCGGGACAACAAGGATGCTGACCTTGGCCAAGTCGAGGCAATCGCCCGATGGATCACCAAGATGGTCGGCATATTTGGCTTGGACGCCAACGCCGAGGCTCCATACGAGGGCCTCGGGTGGGCCTCTGCTATCTCGGCCGACGTCGATCCCGAGACGGCGGTGCAGCCCTATGCCTCGGTGCTCGACCGGGTCAAGGCAGACGTGTCGAAGCTGGAGATTCCGAGCGACAAGATACCCACTCTCCTCGCCCAGGACCCCAGCAAGGAGTTCCAATCCATTGCAGCCAGCGGATCGCGCGACATAGAGAAGCTCGCGCTTCCGTACCTGCGTGTCGTGTCGCAAATCCGCGACGAGCTCCGTCGGGTCGTCTCGGCGCAATCGCCGCAGACCAAGAAGGAGATCCTGGCCATCACAGACCGCATCCGCGACCACGACCTCACCAACCTGGGCGTGTACCTGGACGACCGGCCGGACAACCAGCCGTCGCTCGTCAAGTTCATCCCGGCGGCGGAGCAGATTGCGACGCGCGAGGAAAAGGCGGCGCGTGAGGCGGAAAAGGGCAGGAAGAAGGAGGAGGCGAGGGTGGCGCGGGAAAAGGCGGAGCACGAGGCGAGGGAAAAGGCAAAGGTGCGGCCCGAGGACGTGTTTCGGGGGGACGAGCGCTACAGCGCGTGGGACGAGCAGGGGCTGCCGACCAAGATGAAGGACGGCAGCGAGGTGCCCAAGAGCCAGTTGAAGTCGCTCAAGAAGCTGTGGGAGAAGCAGAAGAAGGCGCACGAAGACCTCAAGGCCAAGAGTGGGCTGTAGCTGCGTAGACGCGCTTTGGATCAATAGTCTAATTAGTCCCGTGCAAGTGACGCTACCCTAGAGCAGATGCAACGAGGAGCGAGCAAGTGGATGTCCTCAGACTCGATGAACAGCAACGATTTGGGATCGGAGTGGCAATTGGCTTGAACAAGCGGAATATGGATAACCAAAATCCCTGCATCCTCCACCGACTCGCTCTACGATGCCTGTGAGCACGGCATGGAATAATTGCTGGGGGCAAAAAGAAAAAGAAAGGCCAAACCCAAGTGGTTGAAGGGCAAAAAGGAACTCCGATGCGGGGAATCGAACCCCGATCCTTGCGGTGCTTCTCTGGGAGACCCATGAAAGCGCAATATCATAGCCACTAGACCACACCGGATCGTGTGTGTTACTGACCATGCCAGCGGATGGAACCGTGGAGGCTTGGATGGAATAGGGTAAGAAAAATAAGTATTATATAGCTCATTTGTGTCCTATTTGCACACGCGGTGTTGAGGAGGACGTGAGCTTGGGCTGTAGGCATGTAGGCAGAGCTACTTGGCGAGTACCGCAGTGGCGGGGGGCTTTGCAGGCTGACTGTCAGATTGTCGGGGGGATGAGAGTGCCTTGCATGTACACTCGTGCTGTGCCGCCTGCATCTCGCGGGTCTCGCTGAGCGGCGACGTCGGCCTCGGCGGCTGACTCTTTCCCCCCACCATATGATCATCGCGGGCTTCTCAGCCGCACAACACCACCGCTGCATCGCCCAGCAAGCATCGCCATCCTCCTCCCCGCCATTGCATATCCCGCTGCTCTTCCGCCGTCGTCTCCGTCCTCGACAAAAGCCGTCCCGAACCCCCCCCCGGGGCGCAGCATCTCATCCAAAAACGCTCGAGGCCAATTCGAGCCCTACCCCCGGCGCAACCCAGACACCGCCGCGCCCGCCGCCATGGCCCAGTCCACGGCGCACCGGCGCCTGCTCCAGGAATACCGCGCCCTCACCAACAACCCGCCCGAGGGCATCACCGCCGGCCCCGTCTCCGAGGACGACCTGCTGCACTGGGAGTGCCTCATCCAGGGCCCCGAGGGCACGCCCTTTGAGGGCGGCGTCTTCCCCGCCGAGCTGCGCTTCCCCAAGGACTACCCGCTCGCGCCGCCCTCGATGAAGTTTCTCGCCGACGTCTGGCACCCCAACGGTTCGTTGCCCTTGACCTCGATACTGCCTGCGCTGCCCCGCGTCCAATGCTGATGACCAACCGCCCCAGTCTACCCCAGCGGCCTCGTCTGCATCTCCATTCTACACCCGCCTGGCGACGATCCCAACCACTACGAACACGCCTCGGAGCGCTGGTCGCCCATTCAGTCCGTCGAGAAGATCCTCATCTCCGTCATGAGCATGCTGGCCGAGCCCAACGACGAGAGCCCGGCCAACGTCGAGGCCGCCAAGATGTGGCGGGAGCGGAGGTCCGAGTACGAGAACCGGGTCCGCGACGGAGTCAAGCGCATGCTAGGCTTGTGATGCGACAACTACGCCGCCTGGCTCTGGCGGCGCCAAAGGATGGCACGTCAAGTTGACGTCTACGGATATGGAGCATGGCTCATGGCATGGCATGGTAGTGCCATACGGTTTTCACTGGCAGCAAGCGTGCCTTTCTAATTCCCCTTTATCTAGCACAGGTGCAAGATCCTTGGAAATTGCAGGCCTTGGTCGAAACCCCTTTGCACTATACCTCAAAGCCCATTGTCCGCCTTGAACCTGTCCCAACTCTCGTTAAGGGTGCTAAAGACCAGCCCGGCAATGAGCCGAACCTCGGTGTTCGCGTCTTGGGGTAGCTGCTTCGCCGTTAGCCATGGCCTCCTTTGCGTCGCATTTTCCAGTCATCCGTGACTTACCTTGTCCGGGTGCGTCTTGGCAATCGCCTTCATGTAGACAATCTTGACTTTGTTCGCCATGACCAGCTCGTGCATCCCGACGTTCTTCCACCCGCTGCTCTCCCAGAGCACCTTGTCCATGCTGCCCAGCAGGGCGCGGAGATTGTCCCGCTTTCCATCCCGCCAGGCCGACACCTTGGCATCCACCTTCTCCGAGAGGGCAAACTTCTCGTCGTCCTCTCGCGCCGCCGCCTGGTTGGCCTCTCGCAGTCGCACAACAGCCTCGGAGCTCTTCTGGGGTGCAAGACTGGCGGCGGCAGAGGGCTTCGGCCTCGGCCTTGACACCGGCTTCGCTGGCGCCCTGGGTTTCGGGGCCAGGGCGTTCTGGCAGCGCTGGCGCCCCTTGATGGCCGTCGGTCCGCCGGCGCCGGCTTCCACGCACTGTTGCCACACGGCACCGGCATCGGCCCATTTCTCCATTTGCTCGAGCGCCTCGGCTTTCCGGCACAGTGCCTTGCCGTGCAACTCTTTCATGTCCCTGTTTTCCACCTGGCCGTTTTCGCCTTGCACGGGAACCGTCTCGCCTTGTCCGTTCCCGGGCCCAATCAGCTTCAAGGCCTCGTCGGCATCTGTCACTGCCTGCTTCGGCTCGCCCGTCTTGAGCGCAGTCAACGCTCGATTAGTGAGGAGGACGATCATCAAGGGGTGCGTGGCGGGAACGGCGGATATCGACGACGAGTACGATGAATGGGCCGTGGCATAGTCACCGCGCTTGAAGTGGGCTGTCCCTTCCAACCGATGCTTTGTAGAGGTCTGCATGGCGGCGGGATTGATTGGAGGGATTTGGCGCTTTCGCTGAGGGGTGACGTGCCGTGGCGGCGTCGCGGCCGCCTGAGGGCGCTTCGCAGGCGACGGGACAGTCCGCTGGACCGGGCGTTGAGGTAGAGGTTGGGAGGCTTTTGAAGACGCGGAACTGAACAGGAGGTCGGGCTCGGGCTCGGGCTTGCTCGGCTCGGGCGGGGGCGCAGGCTTCTTCCTCCTGTTTGCGCTCACATGGCTTGAGAAGCTATCGTCGTCCCCTGCCAGTCGGTTGAGCCTCGATCGCGCGTCCGACAGTGGGGCAACGGTGGATTGCTGTTGCTGCCACCGGGGAGCCGAGCTGCTTCGACTCTGACTGCCCGAAGATGGAATCGGTGAAGGCCCGCGAAGGGATTCTGGCGCAATAGACTGCCGGCTGTTCGCTCGAGCTGGCTTGGATCTCTCTCCAGACTCCAGAGCGAGGACTTCATCGGTGAATTTGGTCGCACGGGCTGCCCGCGACTCCTGGGCGCGCCCTTGTTGTGCATCACGCATCCATTTCGGCTGGCTTGATTCCCCTTCTTGTTGGAAATCGGCTACTGCTTGTTGGACCTTTTTTTGCCCCGTCTTCCACAGCGAGTTGGCCGTCTTGAACAAGCTATTTCCCACGGCAGCGGCAGACTTGGTAAAGTCGGCCTCACCTCTGGCGGCCGCCATCCTGGGATCAGCGTGGCTGGCAGCGCTCGGATCCGCCGGCGGACCTGCTCCCCGTGATTTTTGCTTGGCTTTTCGGTGAGCCTCGTCCAAAAGCCAGTTGGCCGCGGCCTCGGCATTGGCCCCACTGCCACTCTGCATCAAGCCTCGTCTAGCATCCTCGGGCGAGAAGCCGTAGTCCAGAAGCTGTGCCAGAGCCCGGTCAAAGGCATCGTTGCTCGGCTTGGGTTTCCGGCTGGGTTCCCGAGGACGTGGCCGTCGTTGGTCTTCCGATGAGCTGGAGTCGTCATTCTCGATGGGCTTTCCAGGCTCGGGTTGCGCCGCCTGTTGCCGCTTCTTCCGCACCTCGTCCACCGGTCGTCCGAGGTCGCCAAGGAAGTCGTCGTCATCCGCGGTGCTTTTGGGGAGGGAATGCGGGGCGGCGCTGGGCTTCAGGTCGTTGAGCCCAAAGGGATCGTCGTCGTCGATGTTTTCGCCGTTGGAGGTAGCCGTCGTATTCCAGGCAATCGGATCGCTCAGGTCGAGATGCCCGCCGTTGGCAGGAGTCGAGCGATCTGAGCTGGGTGGCGGGTAATGGCTCGCCTGGTCAACCTTTGTGTCCTTGTTGAAGGCGGCGAACAGGTCTCCATCGTCGGCGGCTCCGTTCGAGGGAAAGGCCGGACTGGCGGTGAAGCTTCGCGACCCCAGCGCATCCCACTGCTGTGCGCTACCAAACTGGGCCTCAGACTGCTTCCGGCGCTCCTCTTCCTTCCGCCTCTTGTCGGCCTCGAGCTGCGCCTGTCGTTGTGCGAGGGTCAGATTCTGGGACGCCTTGGCCGAGCCAAAGTTGACGAGATTGCTGAAGCTGTCCTGCGCGGGCTTGGCGGGAGCTGTCTTGGGCAGTGGCCCTGCGGAAGCCTGTGGTGACAGGGGCGTGCTGCGTCCAGAGTCTTGCGGGGAGGGCGTCGGTCGCAGCGACGGATAGGAAGGGTTCATGGGAGACGGTTTCGGCTGAAGGCCGCGCGGCTTTGACCAGTCAATTGCGGAAAGGTCATCCATCGTGGAATGGGTCGAGGGTGTTGCGTCGAGGGTCGTCGGTCGTCAAGTCATGGCCAGAAAGTCACGGCATCTTTCAGCGAGACGCGCAAAAGGTGATGCGTGGCCATTGGCAGTTGAGGTGACTGACTGGTGGCTGTACTGTAGCGCATCACATGACTCGCGGTGGTACATGGTTGCGCGCTGCATAGCAAGGGGAGGCGGGTGGTACGTGACAGCGTTTGGCGGGAGAGAAAGACTACGACGACACGCTGGACTGATGGCAATGCGAGTGAAGGCTTGGTTCGACAGACGGTGAGCAGCTGTGTCGCCGACGTCTGGGAGGCTCTACCTAGGCACCGTCATCGAGTGGTGAGTGCGCGTAGAGTACCTGACGTGTACAGTACGCAATGCGGCAATACCTGTCCTGCCTGAGCCGCGGTACCAGGTACTCGGTCTGGCATTTGAGAGCTTTGTCCCGAGACCGCCGTGGCTTGGGCTAAAGGTAAAAGACAAGCCGCCCGTGCTTGCGGTGGAAGACAATGTCGAAAGGGCATTCGGCCGCCCAGGGGAGGGGGGGCGCGTCGCCTGGCGCTCATTTCCAGCACCGAGGCATGACACCTACCCTACGCCTGCTGCCAAAGGCAGGCCCCTATTAATTAATGGACGGAGGTGGTGGACATGACGGAAGCTGGCCTGCTGTGAAGACGAGCGAGGCGCTGCCACGTGACATGACAAGTAGTGGATGCCATTCAGAGCAGGATGCGTCGGTACAGGACGTTGACTGCTACGGGGAAGTTGCTGCCCGCGAGAGTGCTGGCGACTGTTCATTGCATCTGGGGTACAAGAAACGGAGAGGACTGACTGAGCGGCAGCCAGTGTGCGAGACTGTGCAGGTACATGCATGGGCCACGTAGCTTAGGTGTCTACAGAGTACAGAAAAAGATGAGATTAAGGGAGAGCTTCCCATCCTGTCGGAGCCACGGCATTTTAGTGCTTGCAGGCATACGGAGTATGTGGCGCTCCTGACGATCGCCATATCCGGGTCTCAAACGCATTGCCTTGGCGCGGTTGCGCAGCGCTTGCGACCTTGCCGGCCTCTGGATTGGGCGCAGTTTGTACTTGTGTGTTTGATGACAGCCAATGACAGCCCAATGACAGCCAATGACGCATTCCAGGCCAGGCAAACAATTGGCACAACATCCTTTGTGCAGATGCAGATGGACCAACGGCGCGTGTTTTAAAACAAACAGAACAGACGGGACCATCGTGGAGGGGAGAAGAAGGGTCAGATGAATAGATGGATGGGTGATGCTTAATATTTTTATGGGGCTTCGTTTCATGTTTCTGGCGCTTGCCCCTGAGGTTAATTTCCGTGCCGAGGATCGATTGGGAAGTACCTACGGGTACTACACACGGCATAAAGTTGCGGGAGGGCGCTTTGTATCGCACATCATCGGTCGGCTCCGTGGAGGATCGTCGTCGGACGTGGCCAGCGGATCCCTGCCTGTTGCTTGGCCCAAGTCGAGAGCTGCCGCCATCATGCCGGAGAGCCATGTTAGTAATGGAGCGAGTGCCTAGAAGCCCAACCACGAAGGCCCCAGTCGCGAGCCTGGCGCTCTTGATCAGCCAACCAATGTACGAATATCCTATCCGTACGAGCACAAGCGTGCGAGAGGGCGGGTACCTTGCAGACCAGTCCGCAGCCCGCGCGCGTGGTGTGGCTGGCCGTTCGTGCAGCCCCGGGCGGGCCCTTGCAGCAGCGTCATTGCGGGTTTGGGTGCTATGGATACAGTGGCTTCCTGGCTGCCCATGCACGGAGCAGCGGGCGCGAGTCTCCAGCACGCACCGTGCGGCGGGGACCACGCTCTGGCGGCGATACCTGTACTTCTAGAAGGAGAGGCAGGCGCATGCATTGCATATGCAGCGACTGCAAGCAAGTGAGGCATGGTGATGACGGCACACGACACATGCATTACTTTGGCTGTACTGTACAGCACTGTAGAGCACAGTACCGTGGCCAAGGTCAAGCCGAGACGTGCATGCGTGCATTGGTGCTAGAGCCCAAGACGCACAAATAAAGACCACGTTGAGGCGACACGACACGGCCGGCGGTCAAGTGCCCCCAAAGCACGGGCAACCACCTTCTTGCCTCGGGGGAATAATGTTGGTTGAGGCCCCTTTAACTTACCTCGAATCCGCACGGAGGATGCAGATGACCAGATGGATGACCAGATGGCATTTCACAGGCGCGGGCGACGCACGTCCCCGCGCTCATTGCCTTGTGTGCAACAGTGCCACCGCAGTGCCCCCCCCTTGGAGGGCGCCAACAAGGGGCCGTCTCTCGCTCTCTCTCTCTTGTTGGCTGCTCATCGTTATTGGGGCCTGGGGAGCGGAAAGGACGGGAAAGCTCACTCATCTTATTCACGGCCAATGCCAGCAGCATCCTCGTCGTCCTTCATTCACCCCACCGCTGCACCACCTTGGCCCTTGGTTGGCCACCCCTCTCTCCGCCCTCCGCACCCCCCCGGCCCGGCCCCCCACCAACCGGCCCGGCCCCCTGCTTTGCGCTTGGCGGTGCCCCCGCTAGAGGCCTCGCAGGCCAATCAAGCGTGCGCCTCCAACTGGCCCTCCCCCGGCTTGGGCCCCTCTCCCTCCGATCCAGAGGTGCCCGATACCTCGCCCTCGAGCCCCTGAAGGCGCGGCGCCCATTGTCCCGGCCGTGTACTCGAGACTCGAGGGCTTGTTTGCTAGCTTTTCCACAATAGACGTCAGTTTGTCCCTTGCACATCAGCCCCCCGTATTCTGGCTAGACTGGCACAACATGTGAGCAACATGTGAGCATCTGGGCCCTTTGATGGGGTTGATGGACAAGACACACCCTACCACCCTACCCTTCCTACGCTCACTTCCCCCTTGATTTCCCGTGTCCTTCGTATCCCCGGCCATGCACTTCTCCTTTTCTGTCATTTACCTCTCTCCTCCTGCCACGCGCATCTCACCCTGTCCAACTACACCTACCTTCGTTTCTTGTCTCTCGACAGTTTGAGCAGTTCTCTCCTTAAGCTTCTCCGCTCAACTGGCCATCCGCTAAAGCCCTGCTCGGAATCGCCGACGACTTGTTCAACGAGCAACGACACTTGACAGCCGTGCCCGTGCAACCTTGAACAAAGCGTTTCGTTGCACCCGTCGACGACCGCCCTCTCTCCAGGCAGCGAGCCGTTGGCAGTCAATCCATTGTCCGGCATTTCAACCGGCTGATCGCGCCGACAAGTAGCCGACCAGCAGCTGTTTTTTTGTTTACGTGGACAGCCGCGCGAGCAAGCAACGGGTAGAGTGCCAGACATCTGTGTCGACACGCCGCGCTGGAATTCACCGTCTCGGATCAGCACTCGGGCATGGTTGAGCATCTCGCACCACAATCAGCTTGAGTAGAAAACTTTGGCCATCTTCCAGTTTTTGTCTGGCTCGGCCTTGCTGGACTTGCTCTCCTTCGTCCCCAGACTCCTCTGGCCATTGCGCCAACAACCACCTGGACCCCCGTCAACAGCAGCGGCCTTGCACCGACTGGTTTGCAGCGTACATAACCCGTTCGTCTTGGTAAGTAAAGAAAGAGGAAGAAAACAGCTCCTCATACAGCAACTTGCTGCGCGGTGCAAGTGCAGCAGCTCTCATCCCCTTGGCGCCATGACAAGACTATGGCATGGGTCACAAGGCGGACTCTTCTTCACTGCACTCTTTATGTTTCATGGTTACCGACACTCGTCAGGTGCGGCGGCCAGACGCGGTTGCCTCAGGTCGTCTGTTGCCGTCTGTAAACAGCTCACGCGCCTGCACCTGCCCTGCCCTCTCAACTCCCTCACGCTCCCCCGACCCGGCATCCCGCCTTTTCTCTCCACCATTCCACAGTTCAACTCCATCCTCACGCTCTTTTCTACTGTCTTGCCTTTGCCGACTGCCACCCCGTCTGTCTGCAGTAGACGGCTTCGGCCACCGCTGACCCTCCTCCAGACAGCCTGGTTGCGTCGTCCGCTCCTTTTCACCGCTCGTTAACCCAACAACGACCAAACACCACAGCAGCCTCCTACCGTCAGGCAAATCCGCATACATATCAACCATGATGAAATCCGTTGTCGCCCTGTCTGCCGGCTTCGTCGCCGGCGCCAACGCCTTCTGGCGGATGGAGTGCCCCGGCCGCGTCGGTATCGCGCGAATGGATCCCATTGTCAACCCTGGAGAGATGTCCAGCCACGTTCACTCGATTCACGGGTCTTCTGGTGAGAACAACAACAGCGACTCGTTATCCTGATGGATGCTAACTCGCGCCAGGATTCTATGGAAACGCAACGTGCCCCGATCTATTGGCCGGCGAGTGTACATCGTGCCGTGTCAAGCAGGACATGTCTTCCTACTGGCACCCTGCGCTGTACTTCAAGCACGAGTCCGGCGAGTACGAGCTCGTTGAGCAGGTTGGCGGCATGCTTGCGTAAGTCGTCGCCCCGGCGTCCAACTCTAGCTCCTGGGCAAACAAGCATTGGCTCTGAACTGTTCAGAGCTGACTCTGTCGACTTAGCTACTATCTGCTCTACGGAGATGACATCAAGGCGTTCCCTCATGGATTTCGAATGCTCTCTGGCGATACCGAGCGCCGTGAGTATACGCTGGGAGACCCGAGCAAGCCTGACCCGGACAAGTCTTCTTGGGCCTCGCTGAAGCAGACGACCCAAGCTGCTTTGGCTCAGCGTGCAGTCGGCTTCAATTGTCTCAACTACGGCAAGACCCCCGAGGGTACCCTTGCTCGCCACTTCCTGCCCGACAAGGCCTATCTCGACGCCAACTGCAAAGATGGTATCCGCTTCGAGATCATGTTTCCTTCCTGCTGGAAGGGTCATGGCGCCATCGACAGTGACAACCACATGGACCACGTTGCTTTCCCTGACCTCGTCATGAGCGGTACTTGCCCTGAATCCCACCCGATTCGCCTGCCCAGCCTTCTCTACGAAGTCATCTGGAATACCGGCGGATTCAAGGACAAGAAGGGCAAATTTTTGCTGTCCAATGGCGATGAAACAGGTATGTTGTCCCACAAGCTTCCACACGGCACAGTCCTAACTGGTCGCAGGCTACGGCTACCACGGAGACTTCATGATGGGCTGGGACGAGGATTTCCTCCAGAAGGCTGTCAACACGTGCACCAACGACTCGGGAAGAATCGAGGATTGCCCCCTTTTCGACATCATGACCAAGGACGAGGCCGACAAGTGCAGCATGGAGAAGCCGCTTCCCCAAGAGCTCCGCGACGAGAATGTCAAGGGACCGATGCCCAAACTTCCCGGCGGCGGCGGCAAAGGCCACGGCAGCGGCAAGACGCCCGTGCCAACCAAGAAGTATAGCCCCGGAGAGAAGCCTGCCAAGCCTGCGTCTCCCCTCCCGGGCCAAATTTTCAAAGAGAAGTCAAGGGGACCGGCGCCGGCCGCCACTGATACGGCCAAGAACGAGGCGGTTGTGGTGCCTGAGGCGGAGCCTACCCCGGCTGCCGCAGCGCCAGAGCCCGAAGACAAGAAGTGCTACAGCACTCAGTACGTGACCCATGGCAACGTGGTAAGCAAGATTCTGCTCGAAGCACAGACGGTGTATGCCACGGAGTATGTTGAGTCGACCAAGACGGTGACTGCTCGCGCAACCGATGCTGCCCACTACCGCCGCCACCGGGCCGCTCATCTGCACGCTCACGGCCACCGAAAGCGCAAGCTGTGAGGGGGCATGACGAGAAAATAAAAAAAAGACAAAATGACGTTCCTGGATTTTTGGGGTGAAGTTTTGCAATCTGGACGGGATCCAGACTTTTCAAATGACTTTCGAGTGGCATGATTGGAAGTACATTTGGCTTTGGTGCTCTTCTTTTCATAGTGCAGAGATGCTGTCCAGGACTTTTCGTAACATAGGGTCAATTGAGCAATGTGTCCAGCTTTGCTGCTTTTACTCGTCAGTCTTGTGTTACGGAGTGCTTGTGCAGTATTCTGTCCTGTGCGACTGTTAATCCGCACGACGAGAAGAGGTTGCCCCTTGGGATGCCGACCAAGTGAGGATAAACCAGGCATTCATATAAACGCTTAACGCTAGTAAACATCCTTCCTTGCTGGGAAAAAGGAGCAGAAAGATATATCCTTGCATGATCAGCTATTGCGGTATCCCTTTGGCTGTCATAAGATCGCATCTAGGTCACGGGCCCTATAGTAGGTAGACAGGATGACCGGGCTGACCCTCAGCCGGACCGCAACAGACTATTCATCGATTCGCTCTGCAACTGAGACCCACGGCAAATAACGCCCCGCAGCAAGTAAAGTTGCCCGGCTTTGTTTTCCACCTCAACTTCAGGGAGGTTGGCGGACGGTTTCGCGGTCCTGTACGAAGTTCCTCCCACTTCTCCTCTCCGCCTTCAAGCTGCTCAACAAAAGACAATCGCACTCCCCGCATCGTTAACTCGGCATACCCGCCAGCCCTTGCAATGGCTGCAAAACGCATCTTTGCAGGCCGCCGCCACCCCGGGCCTTTGCAACAAGGTCAACGATGAAATCCGTCAGTGGCATCCCAACCTTTATGAACCCGCAGGGAGCCGCCACTGAGCTCTCCTACAGCCGTATGAGTACGCATTGAGGACTCGGGACGCCAGACGACGTGTGTCAAATCAATTTTATTTCTCGTGCGTCTCCCTACCTGCTTAGACGCACTATAGGATAATACTCAACCACTCTTTAGCGTGGTTATCTAGCTAGGTAGTTACCGCCCGCCCGTCTCCCGGACTGCGCTAGCTTCCCTATATTACGGTGTACGGTAGGCATACGTAGCGCATATACCGCGGACGACGCTGATGGTCGACCCGTTTAAGTATATAGTATAGCCTCCCGTCGTATAAGGAGTCACCACTACTTTAACGGTCACACCGCAGCGGCCGCAGACAGTGTGACTCTAGTGGCATATAGTGGTTGTTTGGCTTGCCTAGTATTGGGCCTAGTTAGCCTATCTCTTAGACAGTTCTAGGGGCGACTACTTACGGGAGTAAATCGACACTGAGGGCAGGAGACTTAGAAGGACATCGAAGGTGCCCATAGTCTTATAAACTCAGTAATTAGTAAGATCTTTAGGCGGGATTGCAGGTGGCCGTGAATACGCACTAGTAACATTGCATTGATATAGTATAGGAGGGGGGCAAGTAGTAACTAGAACGTGATAATATAGTTCTTTATAAGTCCTTTAAGCTAGGCTTTACCCCCTAGGATAAGATATATATATAGTAAGTATCTAGATCTACTAAATAATTTAGATAGAGGAGGTAAGTATATAAATTAATAGGTAAGTCTTAAGTAAAGGCATAAGAGTATAATAAAAGAAATAAAGGTATAAAAAGGTTTAATGTATATCTTAGTCTATTTATTAAGATAAGGGAGGGGCTTATATAGGTATAGTAACTATAAATAGCTAGCTAAAAGAGGGTATTAAGATATTCCTATATTTAAATTAAGCTTATTTTATATTCTTAGGCTAAGGGAGTTATATTAATTAAGTAAGCTCCCTTATATATAATTTAACGGGGGCATCTATACCCTAAGGAATATATAGCCCGCGCAGCAGAGTCTTTGGCAAGGTCCTTGGTAGGGTCCTTAGCAGGATCCTTAGCAGGATCCTTAGCAGAGTCTCTAGCTAGCCCTCTTCTCGATTAAATAATCCCTTAGCCCCTATTCGTCTAAGGAAGAAGGAGGGAAAATTCGGTCTATAAAAGAGGTCTCTTTTCCCCCTTAGCTAGCAGATAGCATCTTCTCCTATATCTTCTTCTATATCCTCTTCTACTAATATACCTTTTTAGCCCTCTTTGCCTTTGCCTTACCCTGCCTAGTGCTTTCTCTTTTCCTTCGTTCCTCTTAGACCCCCTCGTCCTTCGGTATCTAGCTGCTGCTATTGCCGTTAGCATAGGTGTGTCTTTAGGTACCTAAGTTAAGCTTATATTATATCCTTAGGCTAAGGGAGTTATATTAGTTAAGTAGGCTCCCTTATATATAACTATTAGGTCTACTAGGCATAACTATAGCCTCTTATACCTACTCTCCTTTATTTATATATATTATAATCGCTTTTCTACCGCTTTTTAAATTTAGGAAAATTTAGCCCTATTGCGGTAGAGTTATTATAGATTGATGTCGAGCTCGTAGCGGCGTGTAAGTTCGGCGGGTCACGGGATCCGGCAGATTACCGGTAAATCCCTTATAGCCCGCCGTACTTTGCCCCACCTTATGCGGTCAATTTCCCCCGCATCCGGACCCTAAAGTGTCTGTCCTTTCACCTTCATATTACTCCGATATTTCTACCAAGTATTTGCCATCTCGATTCGCTACGTTGTTTTATAAACATGAGCATTCAAGATACTATTTTGGCTATCTACTCAGCGGAAGATGACTGCTTATACAGAATCCTTCGCGAGGACGATGTTCATGGGAAGAGGGCAGTTTATGTCTTGCTTGAATATCCCGATCTGATCCCGAAAGACTCTCGAACGTATGGCCCTACTGCTATACGAGAACTGTCTAAACTCACCGAGTGGTATGGTGAATGGAAGACTCTTACCATCTCAATAGACGAGTCTGGTTTACGAAGACAGCCTGACGCGTTTAAGCCGCATGCCTTATCGCAAGAATACGTGTACGACGGCTACGGCCTATTCGATATTTTTAAATTAAAAGATCTCGAGGGGGTTAAGACTCGAACTTGGCGCTTCCGAGAGCAAGAGAAGCCGTGCTATTTAAAAATGGCTCGTTTTGATTTCGAAATCGAAGCCTTAGAACGGGAAGCCAAAGCATACCAGACTTTAACCTATTATGGTTCGACACTGGCGCCAAAGTTACTTGGTTACGCTTACGAGGAGACACACGACCGAGTGATAGGGCTGATCATCGAGGAGGTTATTGGACGACATCCTACTATTGCGGATCTTGCGATATGCCGAGAAGGATTGCGGCAACTACATGGGTTCGGTATAATTCATGGGGATGTTAATATGTATAACATCTTTATCACCAAGGACGGGGCCAAGTTTATTGACTTTGAAGAGTCATGCATTGGCACTGCCGATCAGGAAGAAGCTTGGGTGCGACGGGCGAACAAGGAAATGCAAAGCCTTGAAGAGAAACTGCTAGACAAGTCAGGGGAGGGACGCCCGTGGGAGTGACTGCTATAAAAAAGTATGGTTGGGGAACTATTGGTCGGTACAAAAATATTGACTACATTGAGATCTTTACACAAGTATAATATCCATTAGTAGACCATACCTATGCACCGGATTGAGGTATCCCCGGCCGAAGCCGCGTCTTGGGTGTGTCGGAGAGCCCTTCATAATAGACATGAATCCTCAACTCCTCGAACAAGCGCGGTGATCATCATCGCCCAACACGGACCGATCCCGACATCCTACCTCGCTTTGTCGCTACTAAGACATTTTCTGCATTTATGTGAGGATATCTTTTCCTCCTTGCGCTCCCACGATGCGCGACCGCATCGCTCATCCACCTTCTTATCGTGAGTGGGACACTTCACGAATTCGGAATCGATGTCGTGTCCACAGGCATAGTGGATGTAATATTAAGTACAGATAGATCGCTGAGCAGGCATTGAGTCGACGAGGAGGCACCGATATAATAGGATTTTTGTAAATAGATGCCGAAGTTTCAGTGCTTTTGAGAAGAGGAAGGAACTTTTTGATCTGGAACGCGTAAGCTGCCGCCGTTTATATAACCTGATGCCGGGGCACCCCCGCTTTCTTCCGTTGCTGCCTTATGGGGAACTTTTTTATTGCAAAGCACATGCATGCCAAGTCCGGCCTGCTGTCTGGTGCACTGCCCTGTGGTTCGAATTGTCCGCAATTGAGGCACGTAAAGGATGACCTAACTCCTTGAGATGCAGGCAGCAGAGTCGTCCATTATAATATAAACCTTGGCTAAGAGAATTCGGGGTGTGCTGCTTTTGGCGACGGTCTTGGTGATCTGTTCTCGACATTTCCCAAACCAACAGTCATGTGCGTCCGCTACTCGCCATAGTTCCTCAGTACGAGGCGAAACCATTCCAGCTTTAGCAGTGATGTTTGTGGCACATTGTTTGCTCGGAGGTTCTGTTGCTTCCTCGCAATTGCTACGTTTCCGAGCTTTCGGCCGCCTTTTTTTGGGACGATCCTTCCAACCTATTATAGTCTGGTCGTCCTTGTTTTCGAACAAGTAGGTGTCACAGGTCCCGGGGCCGGCTGACCGGTCATCCGGTAATCGGATTACCGCACCGCCCCATACAAAGCCATATCGTTTTCGAAGGCCCAGCCCTACTGGGCCGGCGTTTTCTTACTCGGATTACCGCTATTACGCGGCAAAATCGAAGCTCTGGCCCCGCGGAGCCCGGCTCGTAACCTTCGATTTCGGTCTTACTTACGCGCGTTGCGCTTTATATAAAAATATAAGTAGACTTTCTACTTAAAAACTATATACTACTATATTCTAGTAACTATCTACTAATAAAGTTAGTAGATTAGTCTCTCTTAGACTTATTTAATAAGCGCTTTAAGGCTTAAGGGTATATTATAAAAGCGCTTATTATTATAATAAACTATAGAAAGACTAACTAGTATAGCTATATAAAGTATAGATCTACTTTATAGTATTAAGATCCTAGCTAGGTCTTATCTTATTAGCGCCCTTATATTTTAGCTGTTTTAGTACTAATAA